TGGTGAGTGGGGCGGGGGCTTTGCAAAGAGCAGAGCTGAAGAGGGGGCGCCTCTGTTTTGTTTCCCGGCAGCTGGGCGCTTAGCCTGTGCGGGAAGCGGTCTTATCTTGCTTGTCTTATCTCTGCAAAGCTCGGGTGAGTTTTTACTCGGCAGGTGCTGCTTTGTGTGGGGGAATCCATCTTGGATGTGGTATCTGCCGGCCGCGCCGAAAGTCTGGCTCCGTTACGAACTGCAGGCTCAGTTTCTTGCGTGTTTGTTCGCTTTTCTTATTGGTAAAGAGTTCTCTGCTTCAAAATTTCACCAGGCAGAATCTGTATCAATTGTGATTGATATGCTGCAGGGTGGTTTTGGAGTTGTTATTTAAATTGTATCTAATAGTGCATGTTATTAAGTCCCTTTTATTTTAACTATTAAATCTATATTTGCATATTAACCACTTTAGAGATTTACTTGGACTGACAGAATCAGGATTCAGCTGTCACTGAGCAGACTTTTTATGGTTTGAACACAAGGTTTCTGCTCACTAGCTTGATGAAACAGGGTCAGTGTTTGTTGCCCTTTAAGTACATGGTAAAACCTGCTGTAATACCTAAGTTCTTAGTAAAGGAGACTTAGTGGGCTTTTGAACAGCTTTTGGTCTTTCTGTCCGTGTTAGACTAATGTCTAGTTGAAGTTTATTTCCTTTCTACAATGACTTAGGTATATCCCCCCCCAATTGCAATTTGGTACTGTGGTCACAATCAACATGCCTATCCTATGAGGTGCAGCACAGAGAGGTACCTCAGTGATCACAAGTACCTCCGCTCCGCACACTGTAGCGTATTCAGATGGTACTGCTTTTGAAATCTGAGACTGGATAGCGTAGTCAGTGCAGTGCCCTGTCTGATGTAATCAGCTGTGCTTCTCACATGTGCTAATTAACTCAGGATGAATGCTGCAAGCATGCGGTTATCTTGCTTTTGGGGATAGGCAGGACTTTGCTAATCCAGGGCTCTCTGAACCATTGAGCTAGGATTTTCTGATGCTGTACTGATACTGCTTTCAGATCTTCCTGTACAGCGAAGACAAGAGACCAAATACAGGTTTTCAGAGACTACTGTAATATTCTTAAACCTTCCAGCACAGAGGCAGAGAGGGGCTCTTCATCTGTGCAAGTTAAAGGCTACCTGGGAAATGGTAACAGTAGTGAGGGACAAGATCCACCCGTACCAGATACGCTGTCCCTGTTGAGGCTACAACATTTGCCACTTTCTATCTCCTGCTGCTGAGGTGTGGGATTAGGGCACAAAATGGGACTATTACTGGATTTAAAGAAATGGTTCTAGTTATCAGTGCTTCTTTCTGATTTTAAATTAAGATGCTTTATTTAAAAGTTTGTGAAAAGAGTTTATAAATAAATTCTTACAAACAAGTATGAAAGCAGGCAGAACTACGATCTTGCAAAAACAATGGAAAAACAAGGGTAGAATCACACTGTGCAGCAAATAGCCAGTGCAGTCATTCCCCTTCCGTGCTCTTCAGCTGCTCCTTCATCCTATGCTTCTGCTTTCTGCTTGTTGCATTCATTTGTTGCGCTTTAGTTTAAATTGGCCTCTGGCATTGCAATCGAATGATTCGGTACATTCTGCTCATCAAAGTCAGGAAAGCTGCGGGTGGCTGGAAGGGTTTTCCCTCATGCGTGCGTCTGGGTTGTAGTTTTCCAGAAAGAGGAGTAGCCTAACATAGTTCAAGGCGCTTGCTCAGAGCTGCTGGGATGGGATACAGAAGCTTGGAGAGCAGATGAAACTTCACGCGTGCTGCTGCAGCAGAGCAATTGCTTGTTGCTCACAGTGCCTGCTGCTGAAACATTTAAAATGGAGAATATAAATCTTCTTTTTCTATCTGTCTTTACAGTAAGAGACAGTAATTGTACTGTGATTTTACAGCAAACTCATTCAGATATATTATTTCTTGTGCTTCTTCTTTGCTTGCAAGAAAGAGTGAGTTTTCTTATCATACATATCCTTATATTTGTATGACACTGCTTACTGGTTTCTCTGTGCTCTGTGACGTTTTATGACTAGTAAGTAAGAGGCATCAATGACTGATACATTGATATAACTCTCAACTAAGCCATTATTATTAAATGTTAATGCTGTGTTAGGGTCAGTGGTAATGCGTCTTGAGCTGTGCTCAGTGCTGCCCCCCGGTGCCGGTTCCTGGCTGTCTCTGCTTTCTTCCTCCGAGCTCCTAACTCATGGGGTGAATATGATAGAGGCTGCTCGACCAGCTGTGCTCTCTGATCCAGCAGTGGTGAGAGGCTGCAGAAAGGCCGTGCTCCCTCCTCTCTCCACTAGCGTAGCAAGGCAGAAGGGAGCAGAGTGTGGGAGGCCAGTGAGGTATTCAAAATATGTCACGGGTTTTCTTTGCAGCATTAATTATTAAAACTTTGATTTTTATGGGTTTGAAGGGGGATTAAAATGAGATTTAGTAATTAAGCTTATAGTGGAAAAGGTCCTTTGACAGTGGAAAAGGTCCTTTGACAGTGGAAAAAGAAATAGGTAAGAGATGAAGACTTCAAAAAAAAATTTAAAGATTTATAATGGAAGGTTGGTCTTAGCTGTAACTAATAAATGTACTTCTAGAATAGACAAATTACAATCAACTTTCATTACCTTTTGTCAAATCTACTTTCAGTTGCAATCAGAGGCGATGCTGCTTCATAGAAACAGATATCTCAAGTTGCGTCTTTGTTTAACTATACAAACAAATACTTACATCCCATGAAATAGACAATTCAATGGCAGAGCACAGATTTCAAGAATTAAAGAAAATGGCAGCTTTCAGAGATTAAATGTAAGATATTAGAATACTCAAGAAGATTTATATAAAGATTTAGCCAGGTGGCTGAAAATACATAGATTAGGAAAGAAACGTGAATTAGCTCAGATCTGATTTATGAGATGCCATTGATTATGTTCTAATGTTGATCCACAGCTGTTGTTTCCGTGTACGTTGGTCTACCCAAAAGACCTTCCACTTAAAGGTCAAAGTCTTGCGATCAGGTAGCTGGGAGAGTAGGGAATGGTAATCCACCTTCCCTATTCACCGGGGAATGACTTCATAGTTGCTCCAAACAGATTTCTACCGTGGCATTGCTTACTTAACTCTTTTGAGTCACATTATAATAGAGGGAAGAATAGGGAGCATAGAGAGCCAAATTCAGTTACAGTGAAGACAACTAATGTATTAGTGGTAATTGGAGATATTAAAAGCACTGACCGACTTAGGTTCCTGATCTGTTCCTGTGTTCTTGTTTCTGCATGTTGTGGAAAAATTTGCTGCACTGTTCCTTAGCATCCAGTTTTACCTTATGTAGTTCAGCTGGAGGGGTTGGATTGTGTATTAATTGTCAAAACTGTGCTGGCATGTAGGGGCTCTGAAAGAAAGCAGAGAAGAAGCAGACAGAAGTTTAAAATGGCAAAACAGGAAGAAGTGAACTAAAAGTGGAGAACTGAGTGGTGTAGGGTTTGTGTGTGTGTGTGTCTTGTGTTTTACCTTAGAGTTTTGGAAGTATCCAAAGTAGCACTGTCTGATCGTTGTCATCAACTGTGTGAGAGAATAGACGTTACCAGATGTCAGCCTGTGTCAAAGGCAGTGCAGAAACGTATATTTTCGGTTTAGATAAGTTTGAAAAGCAGAGGAGGAATTTGGTTGGTGCAGGGTTCGTGAGGAGTCTGCTGTGAAGTAAAAGGATGGTGTCTACGGAGTACTATACCAGGATTTTGATTTATTTTTTTGGGGTAAGGAAGAGGGGGACTTGATACATCCTTGAAGCAAGCCTTTTACTGCTCAATGCGTTTGTCTGAAGGTGCAGTAGAACAGAAAACTGAAAGTTCGGGCTGATGATGTGTCTTGTGTTAGTGTTGTCTGTGTGCACTGGGGGAGAGGTTCCCTTGCAGAGAAAAAAATTTGTTGCTAATTCTTCCTTGCCACTACTTACCAATTACTGATAGCAGCACCTCTTTTGACTTATTATGAAGCTGCACTTGGTAAGATCAATACCTTATATTTCTGGGTATTTCTGAAATTTGTTGGAAGGAAAGTATCTCTTTACAGTATTTTATTGAATTCCTGTTTTGATTATGATGTTTTGTAAGCATTCAGGTGTTAACAACTGATTTTTCTGCAGTATCAAGGAGTGGTGCACTTGGCCCTGAAAGTACTATTGTATTGAACAGGGTGTTTTCTAGGTCCCACTGAAAAACTCAAGGACTTCCAAAGGAAAGTACTCAGGAAGAGCAGAAAGCATCTGACATGGAACTGAGAAATAGGGAGAGCAACACAGCGTCAATGAATCCTTATTTTCCACCACTTTCCTACTTGATGTTCTTTATAACATCCTTTTTTAACTACATTGAGGTGGCAAAAACATTGATGCATTAATAGTTTGTAGCTAAAAATTAGTGTTATATTCTGTGCCTTCTGTATAAATTGTACAGTATTTTCCTTTGCACATCTTTGCAGAGGAATGCAAGCTTCAAAGAATAAAAGTACAGAAAAGCCAGAACCATTCTACAGGCTTTCCATGCCAAAGCAGAAGACCAGTTCTGAGATTATAAATGAAGCAAGAAGTGTTCTACGAACACTAAGAACTCGAAGACCGTTTACACCTGCAGAGGATCAAAGGAAACTCTTTGGATCTGGATCCTTGCGAATGCCTGAAAATAGACCCCCTTCAGTTTTTAGGTATTGTGGTTTTAAGATTTTTCAAACACCCTTTAGTAGCAAGAGATTTATTTCTGTAGTTGTTTATGGTGATTCTTCCTATGCTAAACTCTTAACTAATCACATCCTTTACCTTCTTCTAATGATGCTTACTCTTAGTGTTATTCTACGCGTCTTGGATGTTCCTCTGGATTAGAGCTACCAGAGGCAATCATTACGCTGTCTTTTGTACATGGAGAGTAGTATAAGAAAATGGTCCACAACCCACCTTTTTCTTAAGATAATCTTATCTCTTCCCTAGAAACTGTGAAAGTTTTTTTTTTTTTCTTTCTACATAAGCTGTCCATACCCTAGATCTTTTTTCAGAACCTTCTTGGATTTTTTTAATGTACAACTGTAGCTCTTGAAGTCAAGAATGCTTATTTTAACCAGAATTTATATTACTTCAAAATTATTTCTTACCTTTTTGTGTGGGAGCCTACCTAGCATAATTCATAGAGTACAATAGATCTCCCTTGTGGTAGAAGGGGGAAAAACAAAAAGAAAAAATTATCAGTAGGATTTTGGTTATGATCTTTGATACCCCCGTCCCTCTTTTTAGCGCATCAATTTCCCCCATCATTTTTAAGCTCTTCTTACATACCGATTCTATAATGACTGGAGGATATATGAGCTGTATTTATAATGTTAGGTGTCAGGCGTGCTGGAAAGGATGCCAACATGTGCTTGAATGGCTAAAGAGTGAGTTGGTGTCCATGCTGTTTTCATGGCAGCATGACTTCAGGCACTCTGCATTACGTTCCTTACTGCATACAGCGCTGTACCCTTATAGAAGGAAGGAGTCTGAGAATGACTTGACTGTTCGGTGATCAGGTAAAGAAATTGCAAATGATACTTTCTGGCAGACTCTGACTGAACGTACATAGCCATGTCCATTCTTGTTCTGTGTGTGCTATGGGAAGGAGCAAGCTTGTACCTGCACAAATGGGAGCTTTCTCCCCTGCAGAGTTCTGCAGCTTGTGTCAGATAGCTGGGGTGCTAAACACGCTTTGATTTGTGCATTGATTTAGGCTTGTACTAGAGAATTGTTGTAGACATACCTGAAATAAGTGTATCAGGGCAGGTGTGCAAGGGATTCCCCCCCCCACCCCCCCCCCCCCCGTTAACACTGCTGCTTTGCCAGGTATCAAAGTTAAATAGCATTCATGGAAAGAAGAGTGGTGATGTAAAGATGTAAATGCGGTGCACTGTCACTCTTCCTTTCCTCATTGTTTTCCCCATGTTCGCTGGCAGAGAGGGAGGAAGCATGCAATTAAAAAAAAAAAAAGTCATCTGCTTGATTCATACTATGTTTAATTTCTTTGTTAGTCTTCATGCTTCCAGTTTTGATCTGGCTGAATCAAGACCAGTTTCTGGTGTTCGTCTTAGCCCACTGGATCATGTGAGTACTCTCAGAAATAACACTGCAGTATTAAGGTATAAAGTATGTGAATTTATATAGTGCATCATAGTGTTAGCCATAGCAATAGATTGGGATGAAATAGATTTAGAAGAAGTGGAAGCCTGTTATAATGTCAGTCAGAGACTTAAAAAGTCAGTTTTGTCAAATACGTTTCCAAAAATGAAAATTGTTAAGCTGTTTAAATATTGTTGCATTGCTTTGTAATCCTATATGACATTAACAACAATCAGAAGGAAACTGGAGTTGACTTTCCTGTGTAAGATGACTAGAATTTTGAAATATTTTCATTTTGTAAGTGTATCTGTACTATATGATTTTTTTTTTTTTACATTTAATCTTATTAAATATAAGATTAAGTCATGATCACTTATTTAATGTCCTGGAAAACAGAGCACACTAGAGCAGTTAACGTCTATTTGCTGTGTGTACGCTTTCTTTACTCCGGAGCAATGGTCTTTGCGGAAGTTAGAAAAAAAAAAACTCTAAGAAATGTTACACTTTAGTAATCTTGATAAAGTAATGTATTTATATGAATCAAATAAAATCTGACCGTACTTATGTCTATATTAAATATGTTTACATTCTGGTGTTAGATTTTTTTCAATTAACTTATGTATGAGAGTGGAAGAAAACTTAACTACTGTCAAGACCAGTGCAAAAACTTCTACTTCAGCCAATAGAGGCAAGTAGGTCAATGTAGGTTTTGTAGTAGTCACAGTGGTTGTGAGGAGTGGGTCTTGTTTCTTGTGTATCTTCAGTTATTGCCAGGGAGAACTCTGAAGATCAGGCTGAGGACTTTCAAATAGACTTTTTATTGTAACGAAATTTGCAGAGACCTAGACCGTAGCGGGTGATGCGTTCATGTAAGTCACAAGAACAACAACGTTTTGTATGAGAGGTACAGGGAGTTGATTATATTCTCTAAGGTGTGAGATACTCACATAAATAAAACTAGAACTTCTGTGAATGCACATGATTCGTCTCGGTTTAATAGGATGTGTACATGAGCATGTCTGAAGTATTTTGGAAATGCTGTTCCCATGCTCAAAAATTTAAACAAATATAAAGAATAGATCTGCCTCTACAATTGTCAGTGCGTCTCTGGCACAATATTTCTGTGATAAATAAGGATACTGTAGATGATGTTAAATGAGTATGTATGAGGGAAATCAAGCAGATTTTTTGTGAGTTTCAGTTGCTCTTTTCAGGTTAGTTCTTCTTGTTTTTACACCCCTGAATGTTTGCTTTTAAATAGCTTTCTGTGGTGATATTGGTATAGGTGATCAAGCTTGTTTAGTGGAATGGTTTTCTTAAACTTTGGATGAGTTTTTGTAATGAGGAACCTATGGTTACTAAGCTGCTGCTGGTAATTCCCATGTATGCTATTCTGAAGTTGAAGAAATGATCTATACAAATGGTAACTTGAAAAAAAAATGCTTGTACGAAAAAGAAATTGACTATGCTTTTGTAAGAACTTCTTTGTTTTATCTTTGTGACAGAAGCCCAAACTACTCGCTTCTGCAAAAGATGAAGATTCTTCCATTTCCCTTCCAAAACCTCCTGTGGATCCTGAGGAGGTTAGAAAAGTCAGCAGCGCTCGAGCACACTTATTTCGAAGAACTTCTCGGGGGAATCTCCTTCCTGCTAAAATGTTTCCTCCTGGTCAGAGTAAGACTGCTTTGATACAAATTATTTCCTAGAAAAGTAACTACATGAGGGGGTTTTTATATTAATAGTTTTTTTTCATAATAACTAGAGATGTCATTATATTAATGTAATATAGACTTCCATGTCCTTTCAGAATAAGCTTTAAAAAGATTTACGTGGCTTAAAGACAGTTTTGAAAATGTGATTTCCAAAAATGATAGTGACTTTAACTTTTGAAAATGGATTTAGGGTCCTAAGCTACTCTGATGCCTTTGAAATTTTTTCCTGTAGGTTTCTAAGTAATGCAGTTTCTTCTGAAAGTTTGCTTCAACGGGTAAAATTAACATTAAGTGCTGAAATGTTTAAAGAGATAATGAGATGGCATCATCTAAGGAGATTCTTTGATGGATTCTGGAGTATAAAAGGAAGAGTAAAGTGGAGTGATATGCCTTGACAGGCCTCCAACTACATTGTATTTGTTCAGTGTACTTTGTTAAGAGTTTGATTAGTGGAGATTTAATAAAAGTCACTGAAACGTGGGATTTGGAAGTAATTTTCTCACAGATGGGAAATGACTTGATGTCTTGGTTTCCTGCAAACTGGCTCATTATAAAATGGACTGGAACACTGTCTTTAACAAAGACTCATTTGTAATAACAGCAGTTCTTTCATTGCCTGGGATTGATACTTTACATGATACGCTGAATATCTTGCTTCTTACCTTATTGCGAAATAAGATAATTGGTCTTACACAAAATGTGCTAGATTTTGCCGCATCGTTGTGTAGATCTCCAGTAAGTATATATTCATATCATGTACTCCCATACGTAGTCTAATCCGTTAGCACTAATAACTTGATGTTACTAGTTTGACTAGTTGAGAACCTAATGTAGTTATAACCTTTGTTTTACAGGAGGCAGTCTGTGTTGTCGTCCCCCACCGTTCTCATGCAAATGTTCACATAAGCTTTTAGTGCAAGCTCTTATCATAAATGTACATACCGAGGTACAAGGTTAATGGCTACCTTTGGCCTGAGTTCCTTTATTCCAGTTCTGAAAAATTATCTCTTCCTTCACAAGATGCAGTCTGTATCTTATACACCTATCTGTAAAAAGGAAATAAAATGGGAATAATAGTTGAAAGGTCAACAATTAAAAAAAAAACAAAAAAAGGCAAAAAAAAAAAAAAAAAAGAAAATGTTGTCCATAAAGCCTCCTGTGCAAAGCAGACACTTTACTCTGAGTAGTCTTAAGCTTTCTTGCTTTTTAAATTGATATAAGCAAATTTTGATAATGTAACATAAAAAACAAGTAATTTATTTTTGAACTCCTTCCTCTGTGTATTGTGTAAGAACACTTCCACAAAATATATTCTTTGGCTATTTCAGATGAAGAGAAGCTGGATTCTGAAGAGCCAGCTATGATGAATAATTTTTGCAGAAGTAATGAAAACTGCTTAGCAGAACAAAGGGCATACACACCATTTAACAATGGAAGTAGCCAATTAATTTATAATGAGCATGTCAGCAAATCAGAGAGGGAAGACTTCCTGAAAGGGACATCAGGAAAATTTTTATCTCAACCGAGAGGTGAGAGGTTAGTATTGCTTGAGTGTGGTAACTGTGTAACTTTTTGCACAACCCTCTTCCTAGCTGTTTGTTTGTGCAAGTATCAGCATGTTTAGAACTGATGGAATTTGAAGGCAGCAGTAATAGTGCGTTAAAACAAATCTATGTTTAGATCATTAGGCAACAAAAGCTTAACACTTCAATTCTTGGGAACAGTCTACTCTGATTTGTCCAAAAAATTAGAGTATTACTTGATATGAAATAATTTTAATTTTGCTTGATCATTAACCTTTTCAGACTAAGTCTTCTAGTAGTTGTATATAGAATATTGAAGTTTAAAATTGGTGTATTTGTCTTTACAGTTCAAGCCTGTTGTTTTAAGGTACTAAACATTCTTGCCCTAGTTCCACAGATGAGTAAAACAATATTTTCAGTTCTAGTATTGGAGGGAAAAATTGTCTGTGCTGCTGCTGACAAAAGCAGAACTAATATGTACGCTAGTGCAAAAACTAAGCTTAATTTCTTTATGAACCCCTTGGCAATAGAGGGAGAAGGGTTTTTTTTCGTTGTTGATTTTTAGTGATCAAATAGGTGTGACAGACTTACATGCCTGCAGTCTTCTTACTGCACATAGATTATTATATTCCTTCTGTAATTCTCTATTAGGTGTATGGTGTTTTTCTTTTTTTATTCCCCCCCCCCCCCCGTCTCTTTTAGGTTTGTACAGTGAGGAATACTCAGTGGCCCTGTTCAATAGGGATGTCAGTTACTGTATCAGTAGTTGGGCAGACAACTATTTGATGCAAATAATGTTGGCAGATCCGATAACCTCTTCCACCAAGAATGTATCGTAACACTTTATTTTCAAAATTTATACCATAAAAAGTTGGTCACCTCTAAATGTAAACATCTTCCAGTGGATACCTGTTTTCTAGCATGTTTTTATGCTTAGGAAAAAATAATTTTCTTGGATGTTATAATGCTTCTTTGATACTAAATAATATTTTCTTAATGTTATAAGATGAAAAGCCTTTCATTCATAGCTTGATGATAGTGCTGAATAATTTGGAGAACGTTGTCCATTGATGCTCTTACAATAACTGATATGTAGAACTATCGTAGCTCTCTTCTTTCTGCCTGAAATTGAAACCAGGTTTAAAAAAACCTGAATCTGAAAGACGGGAGGCACGTGGGAACAAAGTAAGAGCTTCATGAGTATGGAGGGAGGGAAAAGGAGAAAATAAACCCAGAGAATGAAAAAAGCATGAGTGAATGAAGGTAAAAGACCAGGGTGAATGCTTCAGTGCAAAATCATTTTCTCCCATTAAAATCAGTGGTGCAAAAGGCTTTTTTGGCTAAAAACTGTGTGATTATCATATCACATGAGTTACTGTACTCTCAGCTGTGATGTGAAGCAATTTAGTAAAGCAGCTAAAACTGGAAATTGGTTGAGGGTGTCCAAGTGAGCCTTAACAATGAAAGGTCTTTTGCTGCTTTTACTAATTGGGAAGAATGGCCCACCTTCTGAGTGATAACTTCAAAACTTGCAGGTATGCTTAAATAGCTAATATTATTTCACTGTACATCCCTGTTATCTGTTTAAAATTATTTGCTTATCCTTTATAAGGCTGACAGCTCCCCTAATTCTTGATTTAGGGTTTTTGTTACCGTTGCTTTTCACAATTACACATTCATGTGGTGTTCTGTACCATGATCATTGAGTTTTCTGGTAACTTGAACCACAGAATGTCCTGATTTACCTTGATAATAATTTTAATTAGAGAATGACTGACTTCTCCATTGAAATATTCTTGGAAATAGGAAAAAGGCCTATTACCAAAAAGATTGCTCGTTGCAACATGAGGACATCAGAATGGTATTGTATTTAAAAGGTTATCAGTTTAAGGGGTTTTTGTTTTGTTTTTAGTCTTATTTTTTCCTCTTCCTGGTTTGTCACTTTACTCGTTTGAACTGTTTCTGCTGTATTCTTTCTGCATCTGTCATATCTGCTTTAGTATTCAGTGTTGTTTCTGTCCTGAACATGAGTAAATGATGAAGTCTTTAAGTTTGTTGGAAATTATTTCCATTAAATGTAGCTTTAGTCTGAATCAGACTGAAATCATTTTATATGATAAGTACATATAAGAACATGCACATAAAAATATATTTAACATGTGCAACTTGTTATATATAACGTGTTTCTGTAATATTTATGTGAAATTCATATCTCTGATTTTGGTCTAATACATAAAAATAAATTTCTAGGCAAGTTGAAGGTTCTGAAATCCTGCAGTTGCTCATCAAAATTGATATTCTTATGGGTCTCACTGTTAATAGCAGCAAAGAAACTGATAGGAATATCAATTTCATTGAATCATGCTGAGCCTGTCATGGTCAAAAAATACATGTATTTGTTGTAAACAGACTTTTTTTAAATTCAGTTGTAGAACATGTAGTCTC